GAAGATCCCCTGGAGAAGGAAATGGCAACCCACTCCAGTATCCTTGCCTGGAAAACTCATGGACAGAGGAGCCTGGTGGGCTGCAGTCCTTGGGGTCGCAAAGGGTCGGGCACGATTGAGCGACTAACACTTACTTATGTGGAATGTACCTCAGACCAGGGATCGAATCTGTGCCCCTGCTTTGGCAGGAGGCTTCTTAACCACTGGACCACCAGGAAAGCCCTACCCAGTTTTCAATGACCAGCATTCTTAACTCTCTGTCTGAAGATTTTCTCTTGCCACTGGAGCCCACTTAACTAGAAAGCAAAGAACAGGCTGGAAATGTTGGGCAACTTGCACCGCGTAGAAACAGCCCTCAACCAATGACTGACATGAGCTAGTAGACAAATACGTAGGCGCACTCATAACTGAGAATTCCCCAGCAGAATTAAGTTCCAGTTGCCCTTAGCCACAATTTGCTTGATAGACACCACCCTTATGGCAGAGAGTGAAGAGGAACTAAAAAGTTGATGAAAGTGAAAGAGGAGAGTGAAAAAGTTGGCTTAAAGTTCAACATTCCGAAAACTAAGATCATGGCATCTGGTCCCATCACTTCATGGCAAATAGATGGGGAAACAGAGGAAACAGTGTCAGACTTTATTTTTGGGGGCTCCAAAATCACTGCAGATGGTGATTGCAGCCATGAAATTAAAAGACGCTTACTCCTTAGAAGGAAAATTATGACCCACATAGATAGCATATTAAAAATCAGAGACATTACTTTGCCAACAAAGGTCCATCTAGTCAAGACAATGGTTTTCCCAGTGGTCATGTATGGATGTGAGAGTTGGACTGTGAAGAAAGCTGAGCACTGAAGAATTGATGCTTTTGAACTGTGGTGTTGGAGAAGACTCTTGGGAGTCCCTTGGACTGCAAGGAGATCCAACCAGTCCATCCTGAAGGAGATCAGTCCTGGGTGTTCATTGGAAGGACTGATGCTGAAGCTGAAACTCCAATACTTTGGCCACCTCATGCAAAGAGTTGACTCATTGGAAAAGACCCTGATGCTGGGTGGGATTGGGGGCAGGAGGAGAAGGGGACGACAGAGGATGAGATGGCTGGATGGCATCACCGGCTCGATGGACATGAATTTGAGTAAACTCCAGGAGTTGGTGATGGACAGGGAGGCCTGGCGTGCTGCGATTCATGGGGTCGCAAAGAATCGGACATGACTGAGCGACTGAACTGAACTGAACTGAACTGAACACACTATTGGGGATTCTCAGGTGGCACTTGTGGTCAAAGAATCCGCCTGCCAATACAAGAGACTTCAGAGAAGCAGAGTTGCCTCCCTGGGTCGGGAGGATGCCCTTACCCTGTGGTACATTCTTGCCTGGGAAATTCCGTGGACAGAGGAGCATGGACAGTCCATGGGGCCACAGAGAGTCAGACACAACTGAGCACACAGCACAGTATCAGTTGTCTTCCTTCATTGTTTCTCTTCCCCACTCTGGCTCCCAAGTTACTTGCACTTGAACCTCATCTCTAGGCTGGCTTCTAGGGAAACCAATTAAGCCAGTTCTATGATTTTCTTTTGTGTTCAATCTTTCTGAAGTTTAGGTATTGATGCTATATTCATTTCTTAGAACTTGGGGATTTTGCTTTTATTTCCCATGCTCTGAAATAGTTTAAGTAGCATTAGATTTATCTGATCTTTGAAAGTTTGATAGAAATCCCCTTGTACATGTAAAAAAAAAAAAAAGATACACTATGGTTGTGATAAAAAAATTAAATAAATTAATAAAAAAAAAAAAAAGAAATCCCCTTGTAAAACCAACTGGGCATGGTGTTTTTATGTGAGAGCTCTGACAACCCTCTCTGTAACGTCTATAAAAATTGCTCTATTTAGACTTGCTATTGAATTCTGGGGAAATTTTGTAAATTATATATTTCTGGAACATTAACCATTTCAAATGGTTTCATTTAGGCTTTCAATTTTCTTTGCATAGAGTTGTGCAAAGTAGTGTTTATACATTTTCATATATTTCCTCTGATTTTATGGTTATTGTTTCATTACCTTTTATTCTATATATATATACCTTCAAACCTTCCTTCACCCCTCTATTTTGACTTATATTAAGCTAGTGGTTAGTCATTTTCTTGACTTTTTCAAAATAGCTTTTTAAGGGCAAAGGTTCATTTCATTATTTCCTTTTAATGCAAGGATTGATTAGCAGTGTGTTTTTACATTTTTAGGTGGAAGAGATTTTTTAAAATGTCATTATTTGCTGGTTATATAGAATTGTGATCACAGAAGGCCACTTGTATCATTTATATTTTTGGAATGTATTGAAATTTTGTGGACTATAATATGGCAATTTTGTGACTTTTTCATGTGACTTAGAAGAAGATTTAATCTCTGTTATCAGGATTCAGTGTTTACATTTATTAGATCTGTATGTGTGTGCTCAATTGAATCTAAATCTTTTGCAACTCCATGGACTGTAGCCTACCAACCTCCTCTGTATGTGGAATTTTCCAGGCCACAATACTGCAGCACCATGTCATTTCCTACTTCATAGTATCTTCCTGACCCAGGAATCAAACCTGCATCTCTTGCATCTCCTGCATTGGTAAGGTGGATTCTTCACCTCTGCTTTATTTATAATTTTGTTTAGGTCTTCTGTAACCACATAATTTTTTGTCAAATTAGATATAGCCTGTTCTGAAACGGTGTTAAAATGTCCAATTATTAGAGTTTTTACTTAATTTTCTTTGCATTCCTTGTTAGTTTCTGTTGTTTCTGTTTTATAATACTTGTTGCTGTTTTTTAGGCACATGGATATTAATGATAGTTTCCTCTTTGTGGATTCTAGTATTTAGCATTATTTTTATATTTAGCATTATAAAGTATCTTTTTGTTTCCTTTTAGGGGAAAGAGCCTGAATTCTTTTCTTTCTATCTTATTAATTTTTATATTTATGAATAATTTTATTTTGTTCTAATAATACCACTCAGTACCACTCAATACCACTCAGTCCCCTTTTATTTTGATATTGTCTTCTTACCATGAACAACATTGTAACTTACAAGTAACCTCCTCTTTCTCGTCTCTCCAATACCCCCAACATCTAACTTAAAATATTATCCTTTTATTCAAACTGTTTAAAAAGTCAGATTTCCTCTTACTATATAGTCTCTGCTTTTTCCCCCTTTTTTGTCTTATATCCACACTATCAAAATCTATAAAAATTAAAGACTATTCTTTCAACCTTATTCTCACTGTTTTCCCCCAATTCTACTGTAAAATGCTTACTACCAAAACTTAAGTTGCATTTCTCCAATTATTTTCTGAATCATATTTTCTAGGAAATTGTGCAAGGAGGGTTTGGGAGCAATATTTCCTTAGTTCTTGTATGTTCATAATGGTCTATGTCTCTAAAATATTATCATATATCTGATAAGAAAATATAAATAACTCGTACAATTCAACACCAACAAAGCAACCTGAATTAAAACAGGCAGTGGATGTGAATACACATTTCTGCAAAGTAGATACACAAATGACCAATGGACACATGAAAACATGCTCAACATCACTATTGCATTATTAGAGAATTGCAAATCTAAATTACAGTGAGTTATCACCTCACACCAACTAGGATGGCCACTATTAAAAAAAAGAAAAAAGAAAGAAAGAAAAAGCAAATAAACATTGATGAGGATGTGGAGAAACTGGAGCCCTATGCCCTAGTGGTAGGAATAAGATAGTGCAATCACTATGGAAACACACTGAAGGTTCTTAAAAAGTTCAAAATAGAATTACAATATAGTCAGTAATTACACTTCTGGGTATAATATATCCAAACAAATTGAAAGCAGGGACTTCCCTACTGGTCCAGTGGCTAAGATTCCATGCTTCCAATGCAGGGGGCCCATGTTTGATTTCTAGTCAGGGAACTAGATCCCATATGCTGCAATGAAGATGGAAGATCCTACATGCCACAACTAGGACCTGGCAAAGCCAAATAGATAAATATTAAACAAAAAGAATTGAAAGCAGTATCCGGAAGATATATTTGCATATCTATGTTCACTGCCTCATTGTTCAGGATATCTGGGAGGAAGCAACCCAAACACCTACCAAGGGATGAAATGGGTAAAGTGTGGTATATGCATGGAATGGAATACTAGTCAGTCTTTAAAAAGATGGGAATCCTATTACTTGCCACAACATGAATAAACTTTGAGAACATTATACTAAGTGAAATTTGCCAGTCAAGAAAAGACAAATTTTGTATGATTTTGCTTCTATGAAATATCTGATGTAGTTAAACTCACAGAGACAGAAATTAGAATGGTGGAGGCAGGACGCAATCATTGGGGGGGGGGGTGGGGGGGGGGGGGGCGTTGCTCAATGAATATAGAGTTTCAGTTTTGCAAAAATTCTACAGATCTGTTACATAACAATGTAAACAGTTAACACTTCTGAACTATGCCCATAAAAACAGTTAGGATTATATGTTCTTTTTTTTTTTAAGATTTCTTTTTGATGTGGGTCATTTTTAAACTCTTTATTGAAATTGTTATAATATTGCTTCTGTTTTATATTTTGGTTTTTGTGGCTGGGAGGCATGTAGGACCTTAGCTCCCAGACCGGGAATCCAACCTATACCCCCTAAACTGGAAGGCCAAGTCTTAATTAACCACTGGACCGTCAAAGTGTGTTCTACGTCACAGAGGTTTGAAGAGGAGGGCAGCCTCCTTGGTGCGCTCCTTTAAAATCCAGCCTTGCTAGCTCTTTCATCCAATCACAGTATCTCTAGAGCCCCCACCTGCCTTTTCTCCGGATAGGAATGGCCTCCTCGCTCCGCCAGGCGCCGCCCTCGCCGCGGCCTTGCTCGCCCTGCCCCTCGCCCCTCCTACGAGTTTCCTCCAATCGCAGCCCTGGCCCCGCCTCCTACCCAGCCTTTTTCCTGCATCCGGGCTCGGAGAGGCGGCTCTGAAGACCAGCGAGCAGCATGGAGGTCCGCGGCGAGTCCCAGTCCGGCCCGAGCTGTTCGTCGTCCTCCCGGGGTGGCTCCGGGGTCTCGGTCTCCAAGGAGTTGCTGGTGGCGGGGAGCGGCGGCCGCGGAGGTGACGGACGGGTGGGCGGCAGCGGCGTGGGGCGCGCACGTGCAGCTGGGGGCGGCGCTGCTGGAGCGGCGGGGCGGGGGCTCCCTGCCTAGCGCCTGCACCGCCGAGGGACCCGGACAGGCCTCCGGCTGCGGGGTTGGGGGACTGGCCGGCCTGGGTGTGGGCATCCGGCCTCTAGCCCGAGGGTGGTTCATGTTTTAGGCACAGTGCTGAGTGCCCGGTGCTGAGCGCCGCAGCAAGACCTTCCCCCGCCCAAGGGGACGGCCTTAGAATCAGGCCTGGGTTACAGCAGCTGGCTAGTAAGGGGAGCAGGTGAGTATTATGGAATGAGCACCCTCTCTCTGCAGATGCTCACGGAGCCACCCTTAGTGCCCTCCTCTGGTAGAGGGAGACGCATCCAGGAAACCCTCATAGCTTTTTAGACATCATAATAGAGAGCTAAGAAAAGCTAGGGTTCGAATCCCAACCCCACGAGTAATTAGACGTCGAACTTTTTTTGGAGGGGGGCGCGGTTCGAGGAGAATAAAGTTCATTCGAATGGGAGACGCTGTTAGAACAGATGGCCAGCTCAAGGAAGAGCCGAACCAGCTGTGGAACTTTTTTGTGGCTCATTGTCCGACGCTTTGCGACCCTATGGACTGCAGCACTCCAGGCTTCCCTGTCCTTCACTGTCTCCCAGAGTTTCCTGAGACTCATGTCCGTTGAGTGGATGATACCATCCAACCATCTCATCCTCTGTTGCCCTCTTCTCCTCCTGCCCTCAGTCTTTCCCAGCATCAGGGTCTTTTCCAGTGAGTCGGGCTCTTCACATCAGGTGGCCAAAATATTGGAGCTTCAACTTCAGCGTCAGTCCTTCCAATGAGTATTTCAGTGTCGATTTCCTTTAGGATTGACTGCTTTGATCTCTTTGCAGTCCAAGGCGCTCTCAGGAGTCTTCAGCACCATAGTAGGAGAGTTGTTTACATCCCCAGTGCCTCAGTTTTTACATTTGGAAAATGGAAGTACTAGTACCTATAGTTTTTTTTTTTCTGAGAAGAATAATGAGTGTAATGTCTTGGGCATATCCTCATTAAATATTAACTTGAAAAAAGATTCTGTGAGAATCCAGAGCATCCGAAGACATTATAATAATGGCTGGAGCTTCTTGGTGCCTACTCTGCCCCAGGAATTAATTCGCTAAATTTAATCCACACAGCTGCCCTGTGTGGATTTGGTTCTGTTAGGGCAGTTGTATAGATGAGGAAACGGAGACCTGTTGTATCATACAGATAAGTAACTTGTTGGAGGTTGTGTGGCTGGAAACTGGCAAAACTGGGATTTGAGTCCAGTCCGTGTGGCCCCAGAGTCCATGCTCTTTTCACTAATCCACCTATTAGGTATAAGCTATTGATAGTAAGCTAGGAGTGTTGAGCTGCTGCTTTGAGGGTGAACAGGATTTTTATATCAGTGAAGAGATTTGCCAGGTGTGGGAACCAGGGTGCATAAAGCCGTGGGTTTTGAAAGGTGAGTCCTGTTCTCTGTGCTCTGATGGGCTGGAGAGTTGGGTTGATTTGAAGAGCTGTGAAAATACTAAAGGAGTTCTCTTTAAAGGGCTGTTTGGTCTACATCAGACATCTTGACTGAAAGGGAACTTACCAGGCAGAGATGTTCTATAAATGAAGAAATTAATACTCAAAAAGTGTAGGTGATTTGCCCAGTATAATGTAGCTGGTAAACCATTTCTGGCTTTGCTTAACCCTTATGTACTCTGTACTGCTTCCTGCATTCTGTCATTGCCGACCTACATTTGTTGCTGGTAGATTTCTGGCCCAGAAAGGTGCAGTTTAGTGGGCATTTATTACCTGGCATTGGTGAGGTGGAGATGTAAGAGACAGGTTTAAAGGGGAGAGATCTGCAGAAAGAACTAAAATGTTGTAATGGAACTTGGAGTGCTCCTTTTTATTTTTTTTAATGTGTTAGAAAGTGAGGAAGGAACAGTCAAGACTTGAGGGTGGAGGGTGGTCTCGAAAAGTTTGCTCTTGGGCTCCTGTCTCTTTGTGCTGTAATAAAGGAAGTGTGTGTGTGTGTCTGTGTTTTCAGGTATATGGGACAGGTTGCTCATCAACCCCAAGCCTAATTCCAGAAAGAATTCTACTCTTCAGACAGTTCGGATAGAGAGGAGTCCCTGTAAGTACCCTTCTCTCTCTTCTCTCTCTCTCTCAAGAACCCTCTCTGATGTGAAATTCTGCCTAATTAATCACTTTGTTGGGACAGTGTCTGCTTTTGTTGTCAGAGTCCAGTCTAGTAAGACTTACTTGGAAATTACATCGTGAATTCAGTGCACAGGGGTAAAATTTCTTGTATTATTCCCCTGCTTTAAGAGGGTGGGGGTTAGACCAGGCAGGAGACTCGGGTTCGATTCCTGGGTTGGGAAGAGTCCCTGGAGACAGGACTGGCAACCCACTCCAGTATTCTTGCCTGGAGAATCTTATGGACAGAAGAGCCTGGCAGGCTGCAGTCCTTGGGGTCACAAAGAGTCAGACACGACTGAGTGACTAACACTTAAGAGGGTAACCTTGCCCAGAAAAACCTGTGGGGTGGATTTTTGGAAATCAAAATCAGTTATTGTTAAACTCCATGGGAAATTTTTCCAGAGGTTACTGAGTCCCAAATTTCACACACAGATGTGGGAAAACATCACCATATTTGATTAAATCGGACACAGTTACTTAAATGGTAAACGTTACTCTTAACAGGGCCAGTTCTTTTTATTAATTACTCTGTGATATTGCTGTACCACATACTCTAAATATAGGTGAGTCAGACTTTGTTCAGATAGCATCATGTAATAGCATCTGTGTAATTCCCTCTTAATGTTTAAAAAAAAATAAAGAATTAGTGAAAGTGGTGTAAATGATACATGAGGTTATTTTATCATGTCTATAAACTACAAAATCGTGAGTAGTCGAGGGGAAGTTAAATATGCACTAAATGTGCAACAGCTGAAATGATTGCATGGTGGCTCCCCATTCAGATATAAGTTTCTGTGTGGACATAGGTTTATATTTTTGGAGGGTACATATTTCTGAGTGGAATTTTAAGAATTTTTATTTTTTAGTATTTTGGCCATGCCACCCATCATGTGGGATCTTAGTTCCCCAACCAGGGGTGGAACTGTCACCCCCTGCGTTGGAAGCATGGTGCCTCAACCACTGGACCCCAAGGGAAGTCCCCACAGTGTATTTTTTAATAGAGAAAAGATCATCAAATTATTTTCCAAGTTGGGTATACCGTCTGGAATCCTTCTAGCAGTCCTGTTTGACAATTCAAGGCCATTTCTTGACCTTCACCTCCATTTTCTTCTTCCATGCTCTGAACATTTTAGTCCGCTGTTACATGGCTGTATCAGTGACCTAACAAGTTCTGAGAGTTCATGATGTGCATGGGTATATGCTGGGCCTGTCCTGAGAGCTAACTCAATAAATGACATATCCCTGATCTTTGTCCCCCTGTGCTTAGCACAGTACCTGATAGTTACTACCCCTGTTTTACAGATGAGTAAACTGAGGTTTTGATTGGCTAAATTAAATGTATTAGACTCCTGTGGTTGCACATGAATGAAACCCAGCGCCAGTTGCCTTTAGCCAGCTGATGTTGGCTCATTTGTTGAGGAAAAATACCCCTAGTGATTTCAGGTACATCTGAATCCAGGTGCTCAGCGTCATCTGGCATCTGCCACTCTATATCTCTTAGCTCTACCTTCCTGGTGTTGACTTTATCTAGAACCAGCTCTTCCCTGATGATGGGTGGTAGGTGGGCCAGTTTATCAGCAACTCTAGGTTTACATTCAGCAACTCACCTAGTCATTGACTCTGAAAGAATGGACATCTTTCTCAACAGTCCAAAACAGAGTCCCAGGGTGATCTCTAATTGGCTTGCCAGATCACAGTGTCATGAGACCAAATCATAGTGGCCAAGGTTGTGGAATACATAGGCATGGACTGGGAAGGGACCAGAGTGACTAAGAGTGACAGAGCTTAAGAAAAGTCATCATTATCAGAAGAAAGGGAAACAGATGTGGGGCTTCGTTAACATCCATTGCTTCGTTAACCTGCCCCAGGTAACTCAGATAGTGAAACGTGGAACTGGGGCTCTGTGAAGAACCTCATCAGTCTGACCCCAAAGCCTTGGAGCCTCATGCATTTAACTATTAAGTCCTACCGCCTACTTATTCAGTTACTGTCTGTTGACTGCCATTCTTCTAGGAATTTTCAGCTTTGAGCATATATGACAAACACGAAACATTGAGAAATAATTGCTGAATTGTACAGTCCATGCTGTTTTCCATGGACAGAGGAATTCCCCAGACAAGAATACTGGCGTGGGTAACCATTCCCTTCTCCAGGAGATCTTCCTGACCCAGGCATCCAGGTCTCCTGCGTTGCAGGCAGATTCTTTACTGCCTGAGCCACCAGGGAAGCCCAGCATTTTAAGAATTCAGAAGAGAATGAAAAGTTTTAAAATAGAAGGAATTTGAATGCTTTTTTATTGAATTGTTAGTATTCCTGTCAAATTGAGAAGTGTTTTGATAGAAATTCTGGACTTTAAAAGTTTGGCCAGAGACTGACATAAATATTGATAAATGATATTTTCGCTCCTCAGTGCTGGACCAAGTACGGACCTTTCTCCCACAGATGGCTCAGGCAAACGAAAAGCTAAGAAAAGAAATGGCAACTGCTCAACCTGGTCATTTCAATATTGAAAATACTGATGAGACTCTTGGACAAGTTATTCAAATGGTAACTATGCCTTGTTTTCATTTCATATAAAATAAACAATATGTGTCGTCACCTGAAAAACAAAGAGAACCTTCGAATTTTAATTCCAAGTGTTATTTTCCTTCTTGCAAAGTCAGCTCATGTTTCCAGTACTGCACAGGTGCTCAGTCATTGGGTGGTTAAATGACCGAATTATTTAATCCTAATAACCTCGTAAGTCAGCAAGCTTCCCTGAGTGAAGTCTAGGAATTTAGTCATTCAGAATCATAGAAAGGCTTTTTCAACTCCAATAACACATGTGTTATCTAGAAGCATTTATATACTAAGTATCCCGAGTTTTTTAAAATTTTCCCATTCAAGGCCCAAAAGAGGTAATCAGAGTCTGATTCATTGAGAATGCAAAAATAAACAATGTGTGTAACAGAAAAACTGATTATATAACTCAGGTGTGAAAATTGTCTCTCACTTTGGGCTCCTCTTATTTCTGCACTGAAATCCCCTTTATAACACTCATGTCTGGACAGAGCTGACACCATTTTTAATAATCATATACCTGATTGATCAGCAGATATGGCAGCTCTGCATCTAGAATACATCCTGAATCAACCCACTCCCGCTCGGCACCCACGACCCTCACTCTAGGTGAAGATAGTCTCCCCTCTGGATTATCCCAGGAATTTCCCAGTCAGGCTTTCTGCTTCCACTTTTTTCCCCCAGAGTTTGTTCTTGACACATTGCATGTGGCCCCCAGTTTGGGAACCAGGGGGCTTCCCGTTACATTTCTAATTAATTCAGAGTCCTTCATGGGCCAGTGTGATCCTGCCTCCGTCTCTCCATTGACCTTCTCTCTCACCAAGGACCCTCACTGATTGTACTCCAGCCTCCGTCTCCTTGCTCTGGGCCTTTTCCCTCTTTGTAAAATCCCATCCCCAAATTCCTCCATCTTTTATCACGTGTCACCTCAATGGCTTGCTTTCTTCTTTTTTTCTTTTTTAACTTTTCACTGCCCTACACTCTGCTTTCTGAGTAATTTATTGCCTTTTTTTTTTTTTCATTTATTTTTATTAGTTGGAGGCTAATTACTTTACATCATTGCAGTGGGTTTTGTCATACATTGAAACGAATTAGCCATGGATTTACATGTATTCCCCATCCCGGTCCCCCCTCCCACCTCCCTCTCCACCCGATCCCTCTGGGTCTTCCCAGTGCACCAGGCCCGAGCACTTGTCTCATGCACCCAACCTGGGCTGGTGATCTGTTTCACCCTAGATAATATACGTGTTTCGATGCTGTTCTCTTGAAACATCCCACCCTCGCCTTCTCCCACAGAGTCCACAAGTCTGTTCTATACATCGGAGTCTCTTTTTCTGTTTTGCATATAGGGTTATCGTTACCATCTTTCTAAATTCCATATATATGTGTTAGTATACTGTAATGGTCTTTATCTTTCTGGCTTACTTCGCTCTGTATAATGGGCTCCAGTTTCATCCATCTCATTAGAGCTGATTCAAATGAATTCTTTTTAATGGCTGAGTAATATTCCATGGTGTATATGTACCACAGTTTCCTCATCCATTCGTCTGCTGATGGGCATCTAGGTTGCTTCCATGTCCTGGCTATTATAAACAGTGCTGCGATGAACATTGGGGTGCACGTGTCTCTTTCAGATCTGGTTTCCTTGGTGTGTATGCCCAGAAGTGGGATTGCTGGGTCATATGGCAGTTCTATTTCCAGCTTTTTAAGAAATCTCCACACTGTTTTCCATAGTGGCTGTACTAATTTGCATTCCCACCAACAGTGTAAGAGGGTTCCCTTTTCTCCACACCCTCTCCAGCATTTATTGCTTGTAGACTTTTGGATAGCAGCCATCCTGACTGGTGTGTAACGGTACCTCATTGTGGTTTTGATTTGCATTTCTCTGATAATGAGTGATGTTGAGCATCTTTTCATGTGTTTGTTAGCCATCTGTATGTCTTCCTTGGAGAAATGTCTGTTCAGTTCTTTGGCCCATTTTTTGATTGGGTCATTTATTTTTCTGGAGTTGAGCTGGAGGAGTTGCTTGTATATTTTTGAGATTAATCCTTTGTCTGTTGCTTCGTTTGCTCTTATTTTCTCCCAATCTGAGGGCTGTCTTTTCACCTTGCTTATAGTTTCCTTTGTTGTGCAAAAGCTTTTAAGTTTCATTAGGTCCCATTTGTTTATTTTTGCTTTTATTTCTAAAATTCTGGGATGTGGGTCATAGAGGATCCTGCTGTGATTTATGTCGGAGAGTGTTTTGCCTATGTTCTCCTCTAGGAGTTTTATAGTTTCTGGTCTTACATTTAGATCTTTAATCCATTTTGAGTTTATTTTTGTGTATGGTGTTAGAAAGTGTTCTAGTTTCATTCTTTTACAGGTAGTTGACCAGTTTTCCCAGCACCACTTGTTAAAGAGGTTGTCTTTTTTCCATTGTATATCCTTGCCTCCTTTGTCAAAGATAAGGTGACCATAGGTTCGTGGATTTATCTCTGGGCTTTCTATTCTGTTCCATTGATCTATATTTCTGTCTTTGTGCCAGTACCATACTGTCTTGATGACTGTGGCTTTGTAGTATAGTCTGAAGTCAGGCAGATTGATTCCTCCAGTTCCATTCTTCTTTCTCAAGGTTACTTTGGCTATTCGAGGTTTTTTGTATTTCCATACAAATTGTGAAATTATTTGTTCTAGTTCTGTGAAAAATACCGTTGGTAGTTTGATAGGGATTGCATTGAATCTGTAGATTGCTTTGGGTAGTATAGCCATTTTGACAATATTGATTCTTCCAATCCATGAACATGGTATATTTCTCCATCTGTTTGTGTCCTCTTTGATTTCTTTCATCAGTGTTTTATAGTTTTCTATGTATAGGTCTTTTGTTTCTTTAGGTAGATATACTCCTAAGTATTTTATTCTTTTTGTTGCAATGGTGAATGGTATTGTTTCCTTAATTTCTCTTTCTGTTTTCTCACTGTTAGTGTATAGGAATGCAAGAGATTTCTGTGTGTTAATTTTATATCCTGCAACTTTACTGTATTCGTTGATTAGCTCTAGTAATTTTCTGGTAGAGTCTTTAGGATTTTCTATGTAAAGGATCATGTCATCTGCAAACAGAGAGAGTTTCACTTCTTCTTTTCCTATCTGGATTCCTTTTATTTCTTTTTCTGCTCTGATTGCTGTGGCCAAAACTTCCAAAACTATGTTGAATAGTAGTGGTCAGAGTGGGCACCCTTGTCTTGTTCCTGATTTCAGGGGAAATGCTTTCAATTTTTCACCATTGAGGGTGATGCTTGCTGTGGGTTTGTCATATATAGCTTTTATTATGTTGAGGTATGTTCCTTCTATTCCTGCTTTCTGGGGAGTTTTAATCATAAATGGATGTTGAATTTTGTCAAAGGCTTTTTCTGCATCTATTGAGATAACCATATGGTTTTTATCTTTCAATTTGTTAATGTGGTGTATTACATTGATTGATTTGCGGATATTAAAGAATCCTTGCATTCCTGGGATAAAGCCCACTTGGTCATGATGTATGATTTTTTTAATATGTTGTTGGATTCTGTTTGCTAGAATTTTGTTAAGGATTTTTGCATCTATGTTCATCAGTGATATTGGCCTGTAGTTTTCTTTTTTTGTGGCCTCTTTGTCTGGTTTTGGAATTAGGGTGATGGTGGCCTCATAGAATGAGTTTGGAAGTTTACCTTCTTCTGCAATTTTCTGGAAGAGTTTGAGTAAGATAGGTGTTAGCTCGTCTCTAAATGTTTGGTAGAATTCAGCTGTGAAGCCATCTGGTCCTGGGCTTTTGTTTGCTGGAAGATTTCTGATTACAGTTTCGATTTCCTTGCTTGTGATGGTTTTGTTAAGATCTTCTATTTCTTCCTGGTTCAGTTTTGGAAAGTTATACTTCTCTAAGAACTTGTCCATTTCTTCCAAGTTGTCCATTTTATTGGCATAGAGCTGCTGGTAATAGTCTCTTATGATCCTTTGTATTTCGGTGTTGTCTGTTGTGATCTCTCCATTTTCGTTTCTAATTTTGTTAATTTGGTTCTTCTCCCTTTGTTTCTTAATGAGTCTTGCTAATGGTTTGTCAATTTTGTTTATTTTTTCAAAAAACCAGCTTTTAGCTTTGTTAATTTTTGCTATGCTCTCTTTAGTTTCTTTTGCATTTATTTCTGCCCTGATTTTTAAGATTTCTTTCCTTCTACTAACCCTGGGGTTCTTCATTTCTTCTTCCTCTAGTTGCTTTAGGTGTAGAGTTAGGTTATTTATTTGACTTTTTTCTTGTTTCTTGAGGTAGGCCTGTAATGCTATGAATCTTCCCCTTAGCACTGCCTTTACAGTGTCCCATAGGTTTTGGGTTGTTGTGTTTTCATTTTCATTCATTTCTATGCATATTTTGATTTCTTTTTTGATTTCTTCTATGATTTGTTGGTTATTCAGAAGCGTGTTGTTTAGCCTCCATATGTTTGAATTTTTAATAATTTTTTTCCTGTAATTAAGATCTAATCTTACTGCACTGTGGTCAGAAAAGATGACTGGAATGATTTCAATCTTTTTGAATTTACCAAGACTAGATTTATGGCCCAGGATGTGATCTATTCTGGAGAAGGTTCCGTGTGCACTTGAGAAAAAGGTGAAGTTGACTGTTTTGGGGTGAAACGTCCTATAGATGTCAATTAGGTCTAGCTGGTCCATTGTGTCCTTTAAAGTTTGTGCTTCCTTGTTCATTTTCTGTTTAGTTGATCTATCCATAGTTGTGAGTGGGGTATTAAAGTCTCCTACTATTATTGTGTTACTATTAATTTCCTCTTTCATACTCGTTAGCGTTTGCCTTACATATTGCGGTGCTCCTATGTTGGGTGCATATATATTTATAATTGTTATATCTTCTTCTTGGATTGATCCTTTGATCATTATGTAGTGTCCATCTTTGTCTCTTTTCACAGTCTTTATTTGAAAGTCTATTTTATCTGATATGAGTATTGCGACTCCTGCTTTCTTTTGGTCTCCGTTTGCGTGGAATATTTTTTTCCAGCCCTTCACTTTTAGTCTGTATGTGTCCCTTGCTTTGAGGTGGGTCTCTTGTAGACAGCATATATAGGGGTCTTGCTTTTTTATCCATTCAGCCAGCCTTTGTCTTTTGGTTGGGGCATTCAACCCATTTACATTTAAGGTGATTATTGATAGGTATGGTCCCGTGGCCATTTATTTTGTTGTTTGGGGTTCACGTTTATACCACCTTTCTGTGTTTCCTGTCTAGAGAAGATCCTTTAATATTTGTTGAAGAGCTGGTTTGGTGGTGCTGAATTCTCTCAGCTTTTGCTTGTCTGTAAAGCTTTTGAGTTCTCCTTCATATCTGAATGAGATCCTTGCTGGGTAGAGTAATCTAGGTTGTAGGTTATTCTCTTTCATTACTCTAAGTATGTCCTGCCATTCCCTTCTGGCCTGAAGGGTTTCTATTGATAGATCAGCTGTTATCCTTATGGGAATCCCTTTGTGTGTTATTTGTTGTTTCTCCCTTGCTGCTTTTAATATTTGTTCTTTGTGTTTGATCTTTGTTAATTTGATTACTATGTGTCTTGGGGTGTTTCGCCTTGGGTTTATCCTGTTTGGGACTCTCTGGGTTTCTTGGACTTGGGTGGCTATTTCCTTCCCCATTTTAGGGAAGTTTTCAGCTATTATCTCCTCGAGTATCTTCTCATGGCCTTTCTTTTTGTCTTCTTCTTTTGGGACTCCTATGATTCGAATGTTGGGGCGTTTCACATTGTCCCAGAGGTCCCTGAGGTTGTCCTCATTTCTTTTGATTCTTTTTTCTTTTTTCCTCTCTGCTTCATTTATTTCCACCATTTTATCTTCTAACTCACTTATCCTATCTTCTGTCTCTGTTATTCTACTCATGGTTCCCTCCAGAGTGTTTTTGATCTCATTTATTTCATTATTAATTTTTAATTGATTTTTTAAAATTTCTTCTAGGTCCTTGTTAAACATTTCTTGCATCTTCTCAATCTTTGTCTCCAGGCTACTTATTTGTAACTCCATTTTGTTTTCAAGATTTTGGATCATTTTTATTATCATTATTCTAAATTCTTTTTCAGGTAGATTCCCTATTTCCTCCTCTTTTGTTTGACTTGGTGGGCTTTTTCCATGTTCCTTTAGCTGTTGGGTATTTCTCTGCCTTTTCATCATGTTTAGATTGCTGTGTCTGGAGTGGGCTTTCTGTATTCTTGTGGTCTGAGGTTCCTTTTTATTGTGGAGGTTTCACCCAGTGGGTGGGGTTGGACGATTGGTTTGTCAAGGTTTCCTGGTTAGGGAAGCTTGTGTCAGCGTTCTGGTGCGTGGAATTGGATTTCTTCTCTCTGGAGTGCAATGGAGTGTCCAGTAATGAGTTTTGCGATGGATCTATGTGTTAGGTGTGACTTTGGAGAGCCTGTATGTTGACACTCAGGTCTATGTTTCTGCGTTGCTAAAGAATTTGCGTGGTATGTCTTGTACTGGAGCTTATTGGCTCTTGGGTGGTGGTTGGTTTTGGTGTAGGTATGGAAGCTTTTGGATGGTCTCTTATTCCTCAATGTTCCGTGTAGTCAGGAGTTTTCTGGTTTTCTCAAGATTTGGGCTTAAGTCTCCTGCCTCTGGATTTCAGTTTTGTTTATTGCCTTTTAAAAAAGATACATTTACTTATTTGGCTATACCAGCTCTTAGGCTTTTAGTGGCAGCATGTGGGATTTAGTTCCCCAACCAGGGATCAAAGTCAGGCCCCCTGCATTGGGAGCGTGGGCCCACGGGACCACCAGAAAACCTGTTTCTTAACTAGAACAGAGGTCAGCAGCCATTGTATGTAGGGAGCCAGATAGTAAATAACGTTAGGCTTTGTGGACCACACTGTCTCCATTATGACTGTTTATTTCTGCCATTTCCATGTGAAGACAGGGGGGTGTGTGTGTGTGTGTGCGCGCGCACACTCACTCACTAAGTCGCTTCAGTTGTCCAACGCTTTGCAACCCTATGGACTATAGCCTGCCAGGCTCCTTTGTCCATGAGATTCTCCAGGCAAGAATACTAAAGTGGGTTGCCATGCCCTCCTCCAGGGTATCTTCCCCACCGAGAGGTTTAACCCACATCTCTTACATCACCTGCATTAGCAGGCAGGTTCTTTACTACCAGTGCCACCTGTGAAGCCCCAAAGACAGCTGTAGATGATACGTAATGAGTAGGCATGTTTTACAAACTTTTTATGGAATCCAAAATTTGAATTTCATATAATTTTTGCATTTCATGAAATACTATTCTTTTTTTTTTTTCTACCACTCAAAATGTAAAAGCATTCTTAGTTCATGAGCTGCATGAAAACAGGCAGGGGGCTGGGTTTGCCCTGCAGGCCATGGTTTGCCAACTCCTGCTCAAAAACATAAGTTCCACAAAGGCAAGGATTTTGTTGTTGTTGTTGAGATTCTAATGTGGTGCCCGGTTAATGTTGGTATTTGTTAATATTTGTTGAGTGAGTTTTGTTGAATAGATTCAACTATATAGAATTCAGTTGTGAGGAACTTTTTAGACTTATAATAAAAGTAAATCCTTAGGCCGGACCCTGGCAACTGAAAGAATAATAGGCAACTGAAAGAATAATAGTTCCGTATTGTATTAAAAACATTTCCTGTCTTCCATGCTTCAGTATTTGTTCTGTGCTTCAGTATTTGTTCTAAGTGTTGGTCGTTGTTCCCAAAGTTGTTTTTATAACTCTTTAGTGAACTCGCCCAAAATAAATCTCCCACATGGTGTGTTTTTTTTACTTTCAGGACGTGGCCTTGTTTGAGATGAATCAGTCTCATTTGAAAGAAGAGGACAGTTCGAAAGAGAATTCACAAGACAGTTCAGAGGAAAGTTCAGAATCTGAGGATGAAGGTGACAGCATCTCTTCTGAAGGTGAAGTCACCATAGATAATATTAAGCTTCCTCATTCAGAAGACGGAAAAGGCAAGATAGAGGTTCTGGACGGTTCTGCTAGTGAAAACAAAGAAAAACAGGAAAATAAGTGATCTGAGAAACAGGTGATAGATGCCTGCTAATTCTATGGAAAAGAGTGTGACTCACTACTTGTTTTGCATTTCAGATACTATGGTGCTTTTTTGCAATATTGAATGTACTTTGTTTCTTGGAGAAACAGAAGCTGGCTTTTAAAGAGCTAGAAGAGATAGCATTTGGAGATCCTCTCAGAGCACACTGTATTTGATTTCATGCTAAAGAGATTGTGTTTAGAAAGCTTAATTTTATGTATAGTAATGAGTGAGTTTGTTGGCATTCTTCTTCATAGCATAGACTTCAGAAATCTCAAACTTATTTTAAGGTAAAAATACATATCACCTGTTCATTTTTACTTTAAATTGTCCACTTAGATAAAACAACCTAGGTTGGTTTTTATTTTTTAAGTTATTATAAAGTCAGATTTATTTATTACTATCAAAATGGAGTCAATGAGGGAGAAATCTTTTAAAGAGGTTTTTTACAAAGAAAATAATTACTTACATTTAGCCACCCTCAGACATATCTACTTTCATTAAAAAAAAAAAAAGAATTCCTTTCCAGTTTGAGCTGGAAAACTGGTGTTCTGTGGTTTAATCACTGTCGATGACTCTGCAGCCCCTTATTACATACTAGCATGTAGAATTTTTATATTTCTCCCTTGCCATGGCTGTCTCATACAATACAACTAGGTGTTCAGTACAGCTCAAGAAATCATCTAAGTTCAGTTCTCTGAATTGTATGTAGAACTTACTTTTTTAGTTTTGTTTTTTCTTTTTCTCGTAAAGCAGTGTTTTTGTTTGTTTCAACTATTGAAATTATTCCTCACAGTTGCCCAGTTTTGAAATCTGTTCATCATAGAGAATAGGGACACCCCAGGAAAAATAGGGCACAGTACATGAAAAGATAGTACTTGGTTTTCCCTTTCAAAAGGCAAAATAATCCTACTTTGGAGTCTCCTTTCTGCCTTATTCTTGACCTTATTAAACTTGTGTGGGATCTTATTTGCCATGGAACTAGCTTTGCTCAGGATGTAAACTAGAGAATTTAAAGGAATGTCTCCAAGTGCATTGAGCTGATGGAACTTTCTTCCCTAATGTTTTAGGGTTTTTTTTTAAACTGTTTTTTTTCTTACTCCTCACCTTATCCTTGTGAATACTCTGAAGATAATTCTCAAGGTTCTTTCTGGTATTTCCCATTGGAAATTGGAACCCAGGCTGTGCCTTAAAAGTGCAGAGTGAACAGATCTGGAAACCAGATTTCTCAGCTAGAAAAGATACCATGCTGTACCTTGTAGCACCAAACACAGCTGTGATGAATTATTGGTGTAAATATTTATTTAAATAAATTAACAAATACTTAAGTAATGTCTTCTACCAGCTAACATTTATGCCACATTGTGGGAAGAATTGCATTTGTCTGGTTCACTCCTTACCGTGGTGCATGGTACACAGTAGGCACTGAATGATGTAGATAAATGAATCAACAGGTATATGGGGAGGTACAGGACATTTAAAGCCATGGTATCCATGGGGATATGAAGGTGTAAGTTTACCAGAAATGCATACCTAAGTAGAAATAGACTGGTTAGTGAAAGAGACTAGTCAGTATAGAATTATATACTAGTATGTAGAATTTTAGTATTTCTCCCCTTCCATGGCTATCTCATATAATACAACTAAGTGTTCTCTACAGTTGAAGAAGTCACCTAAATTCAGTTCTCTGGACAGTCTTATGACATTGGAGGAAAAAAAAATCTAATATGTGATAGGGTTGTCCTTTTAAGTAAGTGTAAATTGGATCCATTATTTAATACACAGTGTCAGGGATGGCTGTTTTTATTTTATTTATTTATTTTTATTTTTTTTTCCATTTATTTTTATTAGTTGGAGGCTAATTACTTTACAGCATTGCAGTGGTTTTTGTCATACATTGAAATGAATTAGCCATGGATTTACATGTATTCCCCATCCCGGTCCCCCCTCCCACCTCCCTCTCCACCCGATCCCTCTGGGTCTTCCCAGTGCACCAGGCCCGAGCACTTGTCTCATGCATCCAACCTGGGCTGGTGATCTCTTTCACCCTAGATATACATGTTTCGATGCTGTTCTCTTGAAACATCCCACCCTCGCCTTCTCCCACAGAGTCCACAAGTCTGTTCTGTACATCTGAGTCTCTTTTTCTTTTTTTTGCATATAGGGTTATCGTTACCATCTTTCTAAATTCCATATGTATGTGTTAGTATACTGTAATGGTCTTTATCTTTCTGGCTTACTTCGCTCTGTATAATGGGCTCCAGTTTCATCCATCTCATTAGAACTGATTCAAATGAATTCTTTTTAATGGCTGAGTAATATTCCATGGTGTATATGTACCACAGCTTCCTCATCCATTCGTCTGCTGATGGGCATCTAGGTTGCTTCCATGTCCTGGCTATTATAAACAGTGCTGCGATGAACATTGGGGTGCACGTGTCTCTTTCGGATCTGGTTTCCTCAGTGTGTATGCCTAGAAGTGGTATTGCTGGGTCATATGGCAGATCTATTTCCAGCTTTTTAAGGAATCTCCACACTGTTTTCCATAGTGGCTGTACTAGTTTGCATTCCCACCAACAGTGTAAGAGGGTTCCCTTTTCTCCACACCCTCTCCAGCATTTATTGCTTGTAGACTTTTGGATAGCAGAGGGATGGCTATTTTTAACAAAGTTAGAATCTAGGCTCATACCATGTACTAAAGTCAAGGGACAAATTGGGGAAAATATTTGCAATAAAAGTCAAAGAATGAGTGTTATTAATATAAAATGGGCTCTTAAAAAATAGTAAAAAAATAAAAAGACTAATAATCTCAATAGACGTGAGCAGATAATACACAGGGAAAAAATGTTCAGTCCCATTTCTCAAAGAAATGCAAATAAAACTAAGGTGGTATTTTTTTACCTGTTGAAGTGGCAGATGAAACACCAGCTAGTACTTAACTAGTACTTAACCTTTTTGTGTGCCTGCCACTATTCTGAGTGTTTTATGAGCTACCAGCACTCTCACACACAGAAAAATTTATCGAGTTACACATTTAACATCTGTGCACTGTGTATGTTATACCTCAGTGAAAGAGCTGTTTTGTGTGTAAGCAGCTTGCTTTACAGTCTCTTGGAAGCCGAATCGCTGTCATGCCTTGGTTGGTCTGACCTTGTGCATCCTCGGCCTGATTCTTAGGTGTGAGGTGACAGCTGCCGTTTGTTCCCGCTAAGGCTGCTGAAATGTTCTCTTTAACCTTGTGTGTTATCTATTTGTGGCTCTTTGACAGTCATAAACTGGGTAATTGGATGTAATGGTCTTGGAAGCAAAAATATTCTTATTGAATCTCCTCTATCCTCATAATAGTTTGTACATCAGATGTGGTATTTATAAAAAAATAAAACTGCCTTGCCAAGTAGCTTGTATTCCTGTGCCCGAGTCTGCTGCTGTGGCAGAAAAGACAAGAGAGATTGAGTTTTTCATTTGTATTTCCCTCAGTGCCTGGCATGGTGCCTTTCACTCAGAATGTACAGTGAATGTTCATGAAAAAGATTTTTTTTTCCTCTTGACACCAATAAAGTAATCCATCTTAAACATCAGTGGTCACCAGTCCTGAAGAAAGACAGGTTTACTATTGTCTTTTGTCTTACTGACTAGTAGACTTTTCCCCAGAGTTTAATGTTGGAATCTTTGTGGGTGACTCCCCACCATGTGGACTCCCCTGGTGGCTCAGAGAGTAAAGAATCTGTCTGCAATGCAGGAGACCTGGGTTCGACCCCTGGGTTGGAAAGATACCCTGGAGAAAGAATGGCAACCCACTTTTGCCAGTATTCTTGCCTGGAGAATTCCACGGGCAGAGGAACCTGGCAGGCTACTGTCCACGGGGTCACAAAGAGTTGGATACGACTGAATGATAACACTTTCACTTTCTCCACCATTTGTTCATGGAAAATCCTTGCAGTGATTGGCTTGGGGATGGGTATGTGACAACCTTCCCAAAGAGGCACAAGCCAAGTCTTGTTAGTAGACTTTCTGGAAAGAAAAGGATTTCTTATTCCTAAGAAGGAAGCACATGAAAAATTGGCTCCTTCTTTGGAACCATGGATATCTTGTGGTTGGATATGGCTCTTGCCACTCTGACCTAGTGAGCATACCTGGAGCCACAGTCAGCACGCCAAGGGGAGCACAGAGAAGCGAGGAACATCACTGAATTACTGCATCAAATAACTTGACAGAGCTATCACTGGATTTCTAGTTTTGTGACAGTGAATTTTTTTTTGTTTTTTGTTTTTTTTTAAAAAGACCACTACCTTATGAGATGCTCTTCTACCTACTTCACAGATTTAAAGAAAAAAGTGCAGGGAGACACAGAGCAAAAATTGTAAAGCCTCCCAATAGGCAAGTGGTGGAGAGACTTCCCTGGTGGTCCAATGGCTGACTCTCCTTCCAGTCCAAGGGGCCTGGGTTCAATCCCTGGTCCAGGAGTTAGATTGCATGTGCTGCAACTAAGACCCCATGCAACTTAAGTGGTGGAGCCACATTTCCAGTTCAGTCAGCCACACGCTGCCATTATTGGTCTGCCAGTCCCAAAGCCACAAGCATAGGCTCTGAAGCGGGATCGATCCCAGCCCAGCCACTTATCTTAGTTTTTCCCTTTGTAAAATGGGAATAATAGTATCTCCCATATGAGGTTTTAGTACTAATAAGAAATGAATGACTTAATACCTATCACGTGCTTAGAACAGTGTTTGATAAGTGTTATGCTATAAGAAAAATACAGTGGTGGCAAAAATGTGCAGAAACTGTTGGTAAGATTGCTATATCCTTTTAATCAGAGACTACACCTCTAAGAATTTATTCTAATTAAGGAAATACAGTTCAGTTTTGTTCACAAATTTCTACATAAGATTGCTTGCAGGGATCTCCCTGGTGGTCCAATGGTTAAGAATCTGCCTTGCAGTGCAGGGGACTGGGGTTCAATCCCTGGTCAGGGAACTAAGATT